TAAAGTAGGCTGGGTACAAGGAAGTGTTTTCTTTAAAAATCTAATACCAACACTTGATGAACTCACTTGGTGTTGTGTTGTTTCATACTGTCCACATTCTGCACAGGATCCTGACTGCTTTCTGAACTGAAACTCTCAGCATCTAACAGAATGCCATGTTTCTTGAGAGATTCAACACATTCTCCTACATCTTTTATTTCCCTGAGTTTGCCTTCCTAAGAAAAAGATTACTTATCATTAAGCACTGTTTGACATAGAGTCTCACCAAACAGAGAACTGGTAATATTACTTTACCAAAAGTAAACCACTACATCTTTTAGATCTTGATCATCAGAAGTGGAATTGAATTATTACAGAAACACATACAAGATAGCTATTAATTAGCTAGATGTTGATAAAGGTAAAATAACTGCCATAAAATTATGTAACAAGCGTGTAAAGCTAATGTTTCGAGTGCTAGTCCTAGCGCAGTTAATTTACCTTTTAATTAACTTCAAGCTGATACATAGCAAAGTGATTCGTTTCCCCACCAACATAACCCAACAGTTTCTTTAGAATCTAATACCTTCATACAGAAAAAACATGGTGCAAGGACTTTTGACCTTTAAGAGCTGGTGAAGGATGTTGTTTAAATACCATATTACTCATTAAATTATTACAGGTATATAATTTTAATGGTGGATCCAAAGGCTTAGAGGAGCTGGATGATTTATTAGAAGTATCAAAACTCCAGTTTCCTTAACATAAAACAGCCAGATAACTGTAATTTCTAATGTATGGAATGCTAAATGTAGCCACTGCAGACTATGTCACCCCAACACCCCCCTCCCAATTTTGTGGACAGTTTGCCGATAACATGGCCTGGGGGAACTCCCATATGAAAAGGGTGGGGATGCTTGTTGTCTCACTTAGGGGTAAGTAGCAGTCAAAGAATCTTTAAGGGTGCACCTGAAGAAATAATACTCTTATTTCTGTTTTAGGTTCCATTTCCACCGTAATTTCTTGAGTCCAGTCTACTAACACAGGCTCCTTTCCTGAACAGTGACAGACAATTGAACCTATTCCAATTTAAGTGGTATCTCAAATAAAGCTCAAGCCACTCTCAGATCGGTCTCCTTTAGGGGTT